CCAGTTGCGCCGTGGGTTCACCAATGACTTCCCGTGCAGCTGGGTGGCATCGGGAGAGAGATGACAACATCTGTAAAGGCTGAGCGGGCTGTTGCTAATTATCTCGTGGAAAAAAGATTGCAATCACTGAGCTGGCAGCACCAGGCATTTGCTTGCTCAAGACACAGGGCAGCACTCCTCTGCTCTGGTGGCTCTTCAGTGTCACATTCGGTGGGAAGGGTTGTTAAAGCTACTATGAAAGGGTAATCTATTACAAATTACTCATTAATGCAGCCGAAAAAATCAGTGACATATTACTGATTATGCCTGCGTCAAGCTAGCTCGGCAGCAAGACTTGGCTCATGCTGCTGATTTGTCCTGTGCTTTTTGTACCAGCCTTCTCAACCCAACTTACACATGCAGAGATTCTTTTCTCCTCCTCACCCAGATGAGTACATAGGCCTTGCCTTTTCGGAGCTGCTGTGCTTGGCTGCACATGTGCTGCCTCCCGAGTAGTCAAACTGCTGTAACGCCTTGCAACTAAATACCCAGTCGCAAATTTGAGACCCTTTTGCATTCATTTCTGGCAGGTACTGGGATGTGCTAAGCCTCCAGGCTGTGCCCAGCAGCCATCTGTGCCGGTAACGCTTGGCGGTTTTTGGAAAGCAACCTCAGCAGCTGAGTCACCGGGCTTTCCCACCACCGTCGGCAACGGGTGGGGCACAGCCAGCTCTGCGCAGGTAAGATCTGCTCTGTCCTGCGCTCATCTGAGCCCGCTTCCAAGATCTCACCACCTCAGCACAAATTGCTGGAAGGCCTCTTTGCTGGCTACAGCCCCTCGGCTCTCCTCCAGAAATAGAAAAAGCTCTAATCATCTTCCTACTAGTTTGGCACCGTCAGAGTGTTATTGCTGCTTCTGCATGAGGAGTTTTGCCCGTGGTGGATATTCCCCCACTTTAAGCGCTCTCATTAAGGAGCCAGGACTTTGTGCAAGATCCTCACACGCAGCTCCAGAGCCCATGTCTAACACCAGCCTCAGGATGGGCACGGCTGATCAGCAACAAGTCATGGGAACAGCCAGTGCTTACTACATATTCAGTCCTTGATTTATTCATCTCAGCCACAGCTGGGTCTCAAATATAAAAGAATTACAAAAAATGAGGGAAAACATGGAGGTATTTAACTTCTTTCTGGGAAGGAAACAGAAAGCACAGATCAGGTGAGCAGAGAGGTGAACACAGCGGGACCAAGGAAGGAGCTGCCCAAAAGAGTTCATTCGGGAGTCCTGCACCAGGGTCACAGTAAAAGCTGCAAGGAATTTGCAAAGTTTGGAGCAATAAATAGCTGAGCACACAGCAGAAGTGGGGAGACAAGAAAGCCCAACTCTTGCATTTATGGCCACAGGGCAATTGTGGCTCTGTGCCACCAGGTAGGAGGAGGCCACGTCTGTCTCAGAACAAGGAGTGGCCCACAGGCATCGGGTAAGATTCAGTAAAAGGCTAAAGCTATCACAAAACCCAACAAAAACCTGAAGAGAAGAGCTCCAGAGAAGCCAACAACCAAAATATACAGATAAACATATCAATGACAAAAAAATGCGGAAAACGTGAGAGAAAGGAGAGGCAGGAGAAAGGGACACAAGATGCAGAGCAAGACGTGACCTGAAGTGGTTTATTTAGGTGACGGCCAGAGACAGTGTCCTGTTGGTATCTGGAGCGGGACATCTCTCTGCAAGACCAAACCTCTGGGGTTTCACATGGAAACCGGTGAGTAGGGCTCGTTGGTCTGCTCCTGGCGGGAGGGTCAGACTGGACAGGGGGGTCAGAGAGCTGCTGATGGCCTCCCGGAGCCGGCTGACATGGCGGGCGCAGCCCCCCGCGGCACCGCAGGATGCAGCTACGCGCCTTTTATCATCGGAGTCAGATTGTTCCTCCGCGGGGCGCAGGAAAGCTCCACTCTCCAGCTTCGCAATGAGCCACTTCCTTTTCGTCTTTTTTTAGGATCAGAATTTCTTTTCTCTTCCTCCTCCACCTCAAAAAAGCGGATATTTAATAATTTGGATCGG